TTTAAAATGTTCCAGTGGTAAGATGTGAACCCACAAAGCTCAGATGGAAGACAGGTGTCTACCAGTCTGAGCCACCAGCACCTTCTACACTCAGAGTGTTTCTCCGGGCGCATTTATCTTTCACTTTTAGCTGTTTGACTTTAAAAATGTTTATCTGGTAAGATGTGAACCCACAAAGCTCAGTTCAGAAGACAGGTGTCTACCAGTCTCAGCCACCAGCACCTTTCACACTTAGGATATTTCTCCGGGCGCATTTATCTTTCACTTTTAGCTGTTTGACTTTAAAATGTTCCAGTGGTAAGATGTGAACCCACAAAGCTCAGATGGGAAGACAGGTGTCTACCAGTCTGAGCCACCACAACAGAACCCTTCAGTCAGAATCTAAGAAACTTATAAATTTCCTCGTCACTCGCACCAACGTTTCCAACATCAGCTGGATTACATTAGTTAGAGTCATCAGTTCTAGAGAAACTAAAACTTACATCTCGTCTGCTGATGCTGTAAAAAATAAAATAAAAAGTAATTTACTTATTTTGTATGGTGGTCATGTTTTAAAGTCCAAAGAACTCGGCCTGTTCTACATCTAATCTGAAATTAAGCCCGGCCACCATCGTCTGCTCGTCTTTCTTTTCTTAAAAAACACTTCACCTCACTCTGGATTAGTTTGGCAACTGGAAGAGATTTCGTTCTAAATATTTAAATAAAATTTCTGAAACACTAATGACAATGACAAAAGAAAAAATTATAGGTTAAAATAATGTTTTACAGGCACTGAATATTTAAAAGTAACAATTTTAATGACATAATGCAGCCATTTGATAATACCTGGTAAACAACAACAGATTTATATATTTAAAAAAACTATCATTAGACAAATGGAACAATTTAGTTTGTTAAAATATTCAAAAGTCTTAAAAGATGTAAAAAAAAAAAAAAAAATCTAGGAGTGAGGTCATTGTGGTTGTACTGGAGTTTCACAGTTCATTTTAGTCCATTTTTCTTTCTAAACTTCTTTCAGCTTTTCCCTCTTCAGGGTCTCCACAGCGAGTCCTCCATCTCTGTCCTCTGTGTCCTCTGTCCTCACTCCAACTACCTCCATGTCCTCTCTAACTGCATCCACATGTCTCCACTGTCTTTTTCCTGCAGCTGCATTTCTAACATCCTTCTACCAATAAACCCACTGTCCCTCCTCTGGACATGTCCAACCCACTGTCCCTCCTCTGGACATGTCCAACCCACTGTCCCTCCTCTGGACATGTCCAACCCACTGTCCCTCCTCTGGACATGTCCAAGCCACTGTCCCTCCTCTGGACATGTCCAAACCATCTCAGTGTGTCCTCCCTAACTTTACCTCCCAGTTGTCCAACCTGTGCTGTTCCTCTGATGACCTCATTCCTCATTTTATCCATTTTTATGTGATAGAAAGTTTGTTCGTGGTCATTTATTCCTTCTCTTACTTCAGCAGGTTCCACTTGAGAAAACCCTTAATAATGACACAGTTCAGTTTTAGGAAAGATGTTTCCTGGAGGATCAGGGGACTTTGACCCTTGTGGAGTTCCAGTGGACAGGATGTGGTTGTGGCGTGGTCACCTGCATGTGGCACGTTGGACAGGACTGTTCTTCCACGACCACTCTTCGATGCACTGCAGAGACAATCAAACAACGTGTCAACAGCCTGGATGAAACATTACGTCTGGTTGTAGAGTGGATCTTCTTAGAGAACATGTCAACACATAAGAACTTTTTACTAAACACATCAGAGTCACTATAATCTTTTGACACTTGGTCAGAGCAGGCTACATGTCATCAGATCCATTAATGGGCACCAACCTTTCATGAACCAGTTCAAACATCATGACTCTTGGGTGGAAGATTGGTTTCAGAGCAGGGGCGATTCTAAGATCTGACCTTCTCCGGTGCTTAGCCCCCCGGACCGACAATGGCTCTTGGCGTGAACAACATGGTGTGGTTTGTGAGCAGTGCAAAGGATCATGGCGCCTGGTATTCCCAGGCGGTCTCCCATCCAAATACTAGTCAGACCCGACCCCGTTTAGCTTCCGAGAGCAGGAGTGTTCAGGTACGGCCTTAAACAAGGAGCTCAGCCACAAAAAGGACTTTTAAAGGATCATAGCAACCAAAGACTAAACTTATGCAACTAGGAGTTGCAACATATATCTACATACAAATGACACAGAACAAAGCACAACTAGCTTTAATTTAACCATTAATCATATGATGTCATTATGACAGACAATGGAGGATTTAGCCTCCGTGCTGTCACCTTCATGCAGACGAACATGTGGTACTTCCTGTTGTATCTTCTACATTTATTCAGACTGCGTTTAGTTTTGGAAATGGAATGAATTGTATTCCACCCTCTACGTGCTCAGAGTAACGCGGTCTGAATTACATGTTCTCCACCGACGACGATTCTACTCGTTTTTTGATCATTCTTCATGAAATCCCTCTGACCACGAAGCGTTCGTAAAACAAAATACCAACAATGTTGTCGGAGGAAAAGGGGGTGGAGCTCCTGCAGGTAAGGGGCGTTCAGAACTAATTGTGACTGCTGATTGGTCAGTTGCTGACACGCCTACTACATTGATCGAATGAATCTGTAATCCAGAGCTTTGACTCAACCTTTTCTTCACTACAACTGATAGAAGCAATGCCTTCATTACTGAGGACGAGGACTCGATCCATCTCTTGCTCCATCTTACCATCACTATAACAAGTCTCCAAGGTGCTTTAACCCCTACTTGAGGCAGAGACTCATCCCTGACCTGGAGGGAGTATTCCATTTTTTCCTGGTTCAGAATCATGGCCTAACTTTGCCCCAGTGCGCACTGAACGTCTCGACCCAAAGACGCCAACAAAACCAATCTGCAAGAAGCAGAAACAAGACCCTGAGATTTTAAGGCAGGCCTCCTCCTCTCCACAACTGCACCTTCACATCTTGTTCATGAACACCACAAACTGCATCAGAGGCGAGGAACAGCCGAGTCCAACTCGCACCAAGAATGAGGTTGACTTTGTGCCAAGAATGCAGAAAAAGCTGCTTTGGTTATACAGAGGGATCAGATACGTATGAAAAGCAACCCAGGTCATTGGAGCATTGGAGTTTGTATGTTTTCCGTGAGAATGCATTTCAAATTTACCAAAGAAATATTTGTAACAAAACCACTGAACAAAATGTTTCCATATCCTGCAAGTTGTAGTTT